TATATATATTATTATTATTATTAATTAAATTTGATAATTTTTTAATAGGGCTAGTGAAAATTTTTTCCAACTGGGATATTATAAAAAAACATTAGCATTTAGCCCTGTATAAGTCTAAATTTTAATTTAAAATGGTTTTAAAAAGTCTTAAATTAACCTTGGTGAAACTTGCAGAAACCCTGTTGTTAATGCCCCTCTATACCACAGAACTAGTAAACGTTTTTAACATACAGTGTGTTCAGTCAGACCTACCTGTCTATGCTGATGGCGCAGAGGTTAAATATTGAGGCAGTGCAAAGCATGACATCCATGGTCATCAGTCCATCACATACGGTCATATTGAGGGACCAAACTCCATCCTGAAACTGAGAAGAAGAGAAAAAACATCATGGCTCAAATTTAAATGATCTGTTTAAAGTGACTCAATGATTCAAATGATTATTCAGAGCAGGTCTCCAGTTAACTTGCTGATTCAATTGATCTGTTCGAAGTGAGTCTGCAGCTAATGATTCACTTATTGAAAAGATTACTTTGAAGCGAGACTCCAGTTAATGACTCACTGACTCAAATGGTGAATTCAGTGTGAGTGTACAGCTAATGATTCACTGATTCAAATTATTAATTTGAACGAGTCTCCAGTTAATGACTCACTAACTCAAAGGATGCATTTAAAGTGAGTCTACAGCTAATGACTCACTGACTCGAATGGTGCATTCAAAGTGAGCCCACACTTGACGACTCACTGATTTAAGTGATTCATTTAATCAAGTCTACTCACTGACTTGGTCTGACCGAGTCTCCAGTTAATGATTCATTGTTTCAGATTATTCAGTAAGAAAGAGGCTCCAGTTAATGACTCGCTGCTTCAAATTATGCATTGAAAGTGAGCCTACAGTAACGACTCTCACAGCTGTAAATGAGCCAGTCAGAATGTATATCCATTTAACGACTCACTGATTCAAACGATTCAGTTAGAGCAAGTCTCCATTTAATGACCCACTGCTTCAAATGATTCAGTAAGAACGAGGCTCCAGTTAATGACTCACTGCTTCAGATGATTTAGTATGAACGAGGCTCCAGTTAATGACTCGCTGATTGAAATTCTCTTTTAAAAGTTAGTCTACAGTTAACGAATCACACTGCTTCAAATGACTCATTTAGAGTGAGTCTACAGTTAACGACTCACTGAATCAAATGATTCTGTTAGAGCTAGCCCCTAATTAATGACTTACTGCTTTAGATTATTCATTCAAAGTGAGTCTACAGCCAACTACTCAATGATTCAATTAATCTGGTCTGAGCAAGTCTCCAGTTAATGACTCACTGATTCAAATGATTCAGTAAGAATGAGGCTCCAGTTAATGACTTATTGCTTCAAATCATGCCTCCAAAGTAAGTCTACAGTTAACAAACCACAATGCATTCAAATGAGCCAGTCAGAATGAATCTCCTGTTAACGACTCACTGATTCAAAGGATTCAGTTAGAGCAAGTCTCCAGTTATTGACTCACTACTTAAAAAGATCCATTTAAAATGAGTCTACAGCCAATAACTGCTTCAAATTAACTTGTATGAGCGAGTCTGTAGTTAATGACTCACTGCTTCAAATGAGCCGATCAGAATGAATCTCCTGTTAATGACTCATTGATTCAAATGCTTAAGTTAGAGCAAGTCTCCAGTTATTGACTCACTACTTAAAATGATCCATTTAAAATGAGTCTACAGCCAGCGACTGCTTCAAATGAACTTGTATGCGCGAGTCTGCAGTTAATGACTCACTGCTTCAAATGAGCCGATCAGAATGAATCTACAGTTAACAACTCACTGATTCAAATGATTCAGTTAGAGCAAGTCTCCAGTTAATGATTCACTACTTAAAATGATCCATTCAAAATGAGTCTACAGCCAGCGACTGCTTCAAATGAACTTGTATGAGCGAGTCTGCAGTTAATGACTCACTGGTTCATATGAGCAAATCAGAATGTCTCTCGAGTTAACGACTCACTGATTCAAATGATCTGTTTAAAGAGAGCCAAAAATATGCTTATTAGTGGAAACTGTATATTTTGAAAACTTATATCTAAAATGTACAAAAATGTGACAAAATAACTCATATTTTATCAGGGTATCTGTACTTTGTACTTAGATTTGTGCCTGTATAATCTATACAGTAATTCCCATGGCTCTCTGACCCCTCTGACCTTCTCCTAACCTCTTGTTCTTATTGCCAACCGTACGAGGCCCTAATTTCCCTATTATCCGCTTGGCGTTGTCACAACAACTGAGCCAAACACACACTCACACACACACACAGATGCTCCCGGTCTGATGGTAATTCACTACCTGATGGTCTAAAAAAAAAAAGATAAAACAGCAGAGAGGAGGATTTAATGGCATTTTAATTATTGGCCTGGAGAAGAGGACAGACTCTTAATTGCGTTTTTGTAATGGCCTCTCTCTCATGCCAGCGAGCCACACTCACGCTACAAGTGGAAGCCAGGAGATGGTAGCGAAGGGGGCTCATGTAAAATTGTAATTAAGCCACAGCTGACTCACTGGAGCTTATTTTCTCCGTGTCCTTAGCCTAAAGAGCCAGCCAAAGCGTCACGGGCCATTTGCTCCGCTCCCGGTGACCTTGTCCCCGCTGTCTGGGGGCCCCCAGACAGTTCCCACAGGTCATCATCGGGAAAATTGTGGAATTTTAAAAGCTCTATTCCAGACATTGAAAGTCAGGGAATTTTATATTTGGTTTTCTTTTCTAACTAAGTCATGGAATATCAGGGTATTCTGGTGGTCGTTTTAAATTTTACTTAACCGTTTATTAAAATGCAGTTTGTCTATATCGTGTTTTTAGAAAAGACAGAAGAAAGAAAAAAACAATAACATCAGAACTTCCATTTCTCCCAATATTGCAGCTATTTGTCCATGTGTAGTTTTAATGAAAAAGTCGTCCTCTTTGAACTTTAAACGCGATATCCAACCATTCAGATTTTGTAGAGCAGGGATGTCCAACCTTTTTGGGCCGAGGGACATATGCAAAATAAAAAAAATAGTTCTCCCGGGCCATATATTACATACATTAAACAGACACGCGCATATATATATATATATATATATATGTGTGTGTTTATGTATATGTGTATATATGTATGTATGTATGTATGTGTGTGTGTGTGTGTGTGTGTGTGTGTGTGTGTTATGGAATTATTTTAATTTGTTATTTTAATTTATGTTCCAACTGTGTTTCTAGAAAGACTTTCGTTTTCAAAATATTGAATCTTCTCTGGGCAAATTACACTTGCAAAACTCAACCTTTATAAATTCTCCTTCAGTGAAAGGTTTCCTGTGCTGTGCGATCAGCTGGACTACATCATAACTAGCCAGCGTAGAATTTTCTTGCACTTTATTAGCACGAAAAAAAAACTGCTGTTGTTGAGCTGATAAGCCAGCTGCTATTTGTTTTACTTTTTGATCTCGTTCGGCACCAGTGTAAGAGCTGAAGGCCTGATGTTTTATTTTATAATGTCTTTAAATATTATATTCCTTCATTACTGCAACTGATTCCTGGCAAATTAAACAGACACATATTCCACTGACCTCTGTGAAGAAATATTCTTTGCCCCATTGTGACTAAAATTTCCTGCACTCACTGTTGATTTTCCTTTATCTTGCTTGTGCCATGGCTCGCCAAAACGTGATTATGTTTCTTTCAGTTTTTTTCGGTTCGTTTTACTTCATAACAGGAACTGCTGCCTAATTGAAGGCATGTAATAGCGACACCCGGTGGTTATTTATTGAATTACGCTTATTTTTGTATAGCGTGCCAGATTCTTTAATATTCATAAAAAGCCTCCCGGGCCGCCACAAAACTGATCGTGGGCCGCGGGCCGTCGTTTGGACACCCCTATTGTAGAGGGTTTGAGTTGTAGCCACTTTCGAGTTACAGTTTTCTTGCTGGTTGCTAGAAGTATTTTTAATAAATATACTGTTTTTCATCACGCTGTATCACATGTTTTGCCTATTGTTATAGTTAAACTATTTTTTTTAAGGGGTTTTCACTTTTATTTGTATAGGACAGAATAGAATTTACAGAAAGGAATGTGTGAGAGCAGAGATCAGCAAAGGGCCTCGAGCTGGGATTCGAACTCAGGTCGCCGTGAGGCTATTGGTGCGACATTAAGCTATTTTTATTGGTATTTGATCAACTAATCCCTCTTGGATTTTGCGGAAAAAAACTCTGATTACTGATTTTGTGATGACTCAGGATCTGCAGCAATATTTAAGACATTTCTTGCATTAAAATTATATACAGATTTACTTATATTTTATTTACTTTTTTTGACCTCTAGAACTAAAGTCTCTGTTGTCTATGACAACTCAAGGTATCGCACACCAGATGAGTACTTTCTATACACAAATATAATGTTGCACTGTAAAATATGCTGCACACAATTCCTTTGTTGTCCCAACACAAACTGATTAAGTTCACCTAATCATTTGTACAAATGTAAGTAGATTAAACATAAAACTATTGAGTTGTGCCAAAAAAGAACTTAAAGGACCACAAAACCCCCATGTTTCAGCAGGGTGTTTACACACCTCTACTTTGGAAAAAGTCAGGAAAGTGGGCGTGTCAAGCTCTGTTTAGGGGGGAGTGTCAGAGGACGGAAAGAGGAAAGCTACATAAAAATTTGCATAAAAATTGGAGTTTCGGTTTGGGCATGCACTGATTTTCACAGAGGCAAAACAAAACGCAGACGCAGAGGAGAAAGACAGTGACTGTGTTTACATGGACATCAGTAATAAAATTATTTGCCAAATTATTTAATGGTGGACTTTAACTGCAGTTTGGCTCTTTCATTCAGGAATTTCATTCATGCCCCTCATGACAATCGAGATATTTGATTCGAGGAACTGCTGGAAGCGTGTATTTTTAATGTAATGTTTGATACCACACGGTGAATGAGAGAAAAAACTTTCTGCATTTCTCTGTAACTTAGATGCACCCGGCAGGTAGTGTCAGAAAGCCGTGTGTGTTATTCCTGTCTCAAAATGTGGCGAAAATCCTACACGATGGTAAGTTTGATTGTGGTGTTTACATGTTTACACTCGGGAGAGCAGCATTTACAGCAGATCTTTCAGTCCATAATATTGTAGTGATATTAATGTACTGTAAACTTTAGTAACTTAGAAATCATTTGACTAAGGTTCGTCTTTAAACACTGATAGAGTACTGCTGACTATACCAACTAACTTTGCCTCTGAATAAACAAACAAAGACCACCGATTGCTCACTTACCAAATCTGTAGAGACAGGACAATCAACACCAACTGGAGTTGCATCTATATTAAAAGGGGACAAGCAGCAAATCCGGATTTCACCATTTCCAAATGTGAAAAGCTCTCGGGTAAAAATGTTCCTTAAACATGTATTTCTGTCACGCGTCGCATGCACTGTAATCCACACGTGAGTCCAGCTGCGCTCTCATAGCGGGAAAATGAAAGCAAAAACCTTCCATGCAGCAAATTATAAAAGCAACACTGACGACTCGTATCTCCAAACAATTCTTCTCCCACTTGTTTTGGCAACACAATGTGGCGTCTCTCTGCCATCTAAACACTGTACGGGTACAGTCTTCGAAGCTATCATGCATATTAATGAAGTTGCAGCGCATACACAATAGAACGTGCTGATTGGTTTGAACCAATTCTTACTCATAAATGAATGCAGCACACTCAGAGACGTCTCAAAGTACTCCCAGGTACAGACAGCCAGTCTCCACGCTGGAATACACGCAAGTATCTAATCGGCGTGACGCAGCTTCAAAAATTCGTTTCAAATCGGAAGAACGAATTTGCTCGAAATGGCGCAAAAATTGTCACTTTTTTGTTCTAATAGTGTTATTAGCAGCGTGGGACACATATATGACTCTGTCAACAGCTCAAAAAATGTGTTTTGGTGTTTCGTGACCCTTTAAGAATTGAGTTAATTCAACTAATTTAAAATAAGTAGTTTTAGAAGCAAAAGTCATTTTTGAGTGTATTTAACAATGCAGATGGTATGGCCGGAACTTTAACAGTGTCCACACTGGCCAAAATCTGCAGGGGAAAAAAATCAAAAGGTCTTCAAAATTGAGCTCAATTTGCTTGATTTTTGCGTTAAGTTTAGTGTTTGCAGAATCACAGAATTCTGGAGGGACTGCTCAACACAACATCTGCATGTTTTACTATTCATTTATAGGTCATAGAAATTCAGTAGCAATAGTCAGTGAAAATCAGGGAATTTCACATCTGGCTTCAAGTGGGAACCCTGCCTGTCCCGTCATGTCGGTGCCAATGGCATAGTGGTTAGTGTTTCGACACATGGCACTCTGGTGCTCATGGTGACTCCAGTTTGGTTCTCACCTCGAGGACCTATGCCAATCCTTACCCTCTCTCTGCTTTTTTTTTTAAGTGATCCATTCAAAGTGAATCTACACCTAACGAATGATTTAGAAAAAAAAAAACATTATTCATTGGAGTAGCGCAGTGGGTAGCACTGTTGCCTCACAGTAAGAAGGTCGCTAGTTCGCTCAGTTGGCATTTTTGTGTGGAGTTTGCATGTTCTCCCCGTGTTGGCGTGGGTTTCCTCCGGGTGCTCCGGTTTCCCCCATAGTACAAAGACATGCGTTGTAGGTGAATTGGGTAGGCTAAATTGTCCCTATAGTGTATGTATGTGTATGAGAGTGTGTGGATGTTTCCCAGTGATGGGTTGCAGCCGGAAGGGCATCCGCTGCGTAAAACATATGCTTGATAAGTTGGGGGTTCATTCTGCTGTGGCGACCCCTGATTAATAAAGGGATAAGCTGAAAAGAAAATAAATGATTCATTGGATTTACTAGTTTTTAAGGTAAGTGTATGCAAACAATTTATATGGGTTGAATTTAAATAAATTAAATTTAGTAATGGTCAACTTGTTTTAATTCACCCCATATAAATTGTTTGCTTCCACTTACCCTAAATAAAAGGTAGTAACTCAGATGAATCATTTTCTTTCAGTGTAGGGGACATGGTAACTTGGCACGGGCCCCCAGAATGGCATGTCCGATCACTGGATACTCTGTAGGCTTGGCTCTAGTGTTAGTGTCTCCATTCTTGTGGGTGGCAGACAATGCGTATTGTGCGATGTGTGTGTTTATGATGCGTGGCTCTGGCACACATGGATGGTCTCAGCAGGAGAGGGGCCGGATGAATGCTCGTCTGCAGAGTTTTTCATGGAAGAGTAACAATCGGGCATTGATGAGGAGCTCGCGACGCACTTTTGTGGAACGGTTTCATAGAGTAGGTGATGAGATCGGTTAAGGGCTTAATTGCAATTAAGTAAACACATGAAAGATTATAGGCTGCTGTTACCATGGTTACCCCAGAGGATGACAGGCCAGTGCTGTTATGGTTGCTGCATTGCAATGAAACCATCTCAAGTTTGCCTTTTTCTACATTTTAGAGTAAATATACACACACTCAGTTTATTTATTTTTTTATTATTTATTTAGATGTTATGATTTTTATTCAGCCATTTTATCAATTTCTATTACATACATACAATATATATACACACGTGTATATTTGTGTGTGTGTGTGTGTGTGTGTAGATAGATTCAAAAAAATTCTGCTTGTTCAAACTACTTATTTAAAGTCACCTAAATCAACACAATTCTTGATATTTTTTGTACAACTTATTTGTTTTGTGTTCAATCAACTTAAATTTGTATAAACAATTAAAGTTTAACTTAATCTATTTGTGTTGGTACAACATGAAGGAATTTGTGGAACCCAGCATGTTTTTATGGATGGATGGATGGATGGATGGATGGATGGATGGATGGATGGATCGACAGACGAACGGGTGGACAGACAGACAGACAGATACAGAAAGATACACAGGAAGTTAGATGGATAGACAGACAGACAGACACACAGATAGATAGATGATAGATAGATAGATAGATAGATAGATAGATAGATAGATAGATAGATAGATAGATAGATAGATAGATAGATAGATAGATAGATAGATAGATAGATAGATAGATAGATAGATAGATAGACAGACAGAAAGACAGGAAGATAGACAGAAAGGAAAATAGATAGAAAGACTAACTCAAAAAATATGCTGTTTGTTCAAACTACTTATTTAAAATCACCTAAATCAACACGAGTCTTGAGGTTTTTTTTTTGGACAACTTAATTGTTTTGTGTTCAATCAACTTAAATTTGTAAAAACAATTAAAGTTTAATTTAATCTATTTGTGTTGGGACAACATGAAGAAATTTTGGAACCCAGCATGTTTTTATGGATGGATGGATGGAAGGATGTGTTGATTGATTTTTGTTTACCAATTTCTCAAATTATTGCTTATTACACCAACACAGATCTCTGTAGTACACTGCTATGAGATAGATAGATAGATAGATAGATAGATAGATAGATAGATAGATAGATAGATAGATAGATAGATAGATAGATAGATAGATAGATAGATAGATAGATAGATAGATAGATAGATAGATTGATAGATAGATAGATAGATAGACAGAACGATAGACGGACGGATTCCTTGGATTTACTCATTTTTTTACGTTAAGTGGTTGTAAACTGTTTATTTGGGCTGAATTTAAACTAACAAATTAAGTTGAACTATTACATTTAATTTGTTCGATTAAATTCAACACAAATAAATTGTTTGCAGCAGTTCTGCATGCAACACTTTTTTTCAGATAGACAGTCAAACAGATAGATAGATAGATAGATAGATAGATAGATAGACAGACAGACAGACAGACAGACAGACAGACAGACAGACAGACAGACAGACAGACAGACAGACAGACAGACAGACAGACAGATAGATAGATAGATAGATAGATAGATAGATAGATAGATAGATAGATAGATAGATAGATAGATAGATAGATATCCATCCATCCGTTTTACATCCTAAAATTACCCCGAAACTAGCCAAAACTTTTACTTGTACGAATAAGGGTTTTTTCAGGTCATTTAGGATTATCCGGCAGAATCAGCCTAATCAGCTTATAACTTTAAAGGGGTTTAAAGTAAATGTGTGGTTTTAGGGCATCATAAAAATACAAATAATAAATTACACATATGAAATTTCAGACCTTTATCTGAGTCTTTACTCACCTCCGCATACACAAACAGCGGTAAGACCAGCACAGCTAACAGCAGATCAGCCACAGCCAAACTGACTATGAAGTAGTTGGTGGTGGTTTTCAGCGCTTTCTCCGTGTAAACACTCAGACACACCAGCACGTTCCCGCAAATGATGATTATGATCAGTAATATCCCGAAGATGAGCGCTGGGAAGTTGTAGTTCGTGGTGTGGGTGGAGATGGTGAGGTTGGCTGGCATGTCTGCCTCTACCATAACCTGTCATCTGGAAATCCTTGGAGAAAAAAAGCCCGTTTCTTCTTTGCCATTATTTGAGCGTCTCTCCAAACTCCGAGCGTCCCGCTGAACTCTGCGCTTTCCGGAGCCCAGTACTGTTGTTTTCAGTCTGTGAGATGGGAAAGAGGCTGAATGTGGTTGCAAGTGGTAAAATCATCGCTGTTCATTCGGTGTTTTTCGACGCAAAAGTTTTCTGTCAGGTTTGAAGCGCGCGTCCGTGCACCTGCGCGCGCGCGTCTTAAAGCGGCTTACAGCGGCGCGCCGTTAATATCTGAGGCTTTCATTATATTACCTTGAGGTTATTACTAACGCTTGTCTTCCTTATAACATCACATTGTTTAAGTTGGTGAAATTGAGGTTAATAAATCCACTGACTGACGTGGACGTCCCACCGGTTTCTTTCCGATTCAGTTTCACCGTAACAGTCCGCGCGGGAGTGATAATAATCTGACGGTGGGTGTGACATTTTCCACGAGTGTATGAAGTATGGGGGTTTAAACTCTAATATATTAAAGCGATAGTTCACCTCAAATGAACATTTACACTGTATTAACTCACCTTCAAAGTGGTTTCAGAGCTTATGAGCTCTTTATACCAAAGAAGATATATTGAAGCTGAAAACCATTGACATGTAGTAAAACAAATATGATACTATGGATGTGAATAGCCACTGGTTTCCATCTTACTTCAAAATATAATTTTTGTTTTTACCAGAATAAAGAGCTTATGAAGCATTTTGATTTCCCAGAGATCGGTTGCGGCTGGAAGGGCATCCGCTGCGTAAAAACTTGCTGGATAAGTTGGCGGTTCATTCCGCTGTGGCGACCCCGGATTAATAAAGGGACTAAGCCGACAAGAAAATGAATGAATGAATGAAGCATTTTGAGAGTGAGTAAATGCAGTGTAAATGGGACACGATGACTGTCCCCTCACAGCAAGAAGGTCGCTGGTTCGAGCTGGGTCAGTTGGCATTTCTCTGTGGAGTTTGCATGTTCTCCCAGTGTTGGTGTGGGTTTCTTCTGGCTGCTCTGGTTTCCCCCCACAGTCCAAACACATGCACTATAGGTAAATTGAATAGACTAAATTATCCGTAGTGTATGTGTGAATGAGTGTGTATGGATGTTCCCAGTACTGGGTTGCAGCTGGAAGGGCATAAAACATATGCTGGATAAGTTGGCGGATCATTCCGCTGTGGCGACCCCTGATGAATAAAGGGACTGAGCCGAAGAAAAATGAATGTTTTTAATGAAGTTAATTATCCTCTTAAATTCTTTATATTGTGAGTGGATAATATTATTTCAAGTGCAGTAAATCAATTAAAAAAACAAATAACATTTAGACAATTTCTGGGCACCATGAAATGTCATCTCAAATAATTTTCATGTGATATCTTAATATCATTATAGCCTCTATCATTCAGTATTTGTTAGCTAGTGATTTTGAATCTATTAAATCTCATTTATATCACATTTAGCAAACGCTTCTTTCCAAAGCGACTTACGATTGAGGAGGCATTCAGCGATTCAGCAAAAAGAGACAATACACACAACAAGTGCTCATTATGGAACTGTAAGTTCTCGGGGAATTAGGTGGTAGAGTAAGAGAGAGTTTAGAGAGAAAAGTGTTTCTACAGGTGGTTTGTCAAACCCACTCACCTGTGTGAAGCCCACTTCGTAAATGCAGTGTTTTAGTGATGTTGAGTGATTGTAGGAAACTGTCTGGTGCAAATATGCAAAACTGGTCCAAGTGTCGGTTAAAATGACAGAAAGATGAAAGAGTGTGTTTTCAACAGGTGGTTTATCAAGCCCACGCACCTATGCGAAACACACTCAGAACTTCATCATGTCTTAAATGTCAAATTGTAATTTGGATTCTGCATATTTCACAATAATTGTTTCCATGGGTGGTTAGCACTGTTGCCTTACAGCAAGAAGGTTGCTGGTTCGAGCCTCGGTTGGGTCAGTTGGCATTTCTGTGTGGAGTTTGCATGTTCTCCCCATGTTATTGTGTGTTTCCTCCGGTTTCCCCCACAGTCCAATCACGTGTGCTATAGACCTTTTTCATGGCTGCTGCATGGAGGGCGCCATAGCGACCAGCGTCTTCCGGTAGAATGCTAAAAACTTCCGTTTACAGCGTGTACAACTGGTAATTTGCGCTCCGAAAATGGGTTTCAATGACGTTTTTAAAAGATAACAGAGTGTTTTTGTGACACACAACTTAGAAATGTGTCTGTTAAAGCCGTTATAATCTGTCACATGTGGTTCACGCGCGTCAGAAATACGAGAAAAAAGTTCTCCTAGTTCACGTGTCTGCCGTCAGAAATAGTGTTAGCGCAGCGGCTCTTTAACACACATACACAGACACACACACAGAGAGAGAGAGAGAGAGAGAGAGAGAGAGAGAGAGCAAACCAGAGAACTGGCATGAAACTTAACAGATATGTAAGTCATGCAATTTACAAAAATGACCAATAAAAGTCTGTTATTGACACTCTGCTGGCTGATTTGCTGTTCATTCTAATCGCGAGCCAATTGTGTTTTTTTTACCACGGTTTGTGTTTTTCTGTCATTTCGAAATGACACGCCTGTATTTTCACTTTGTCACAGTTATTAACCCTGCTGAAAAATCCAGCTTAAACCAGCCTAGGCTGGTTTAAGCTGTTTTTTCAGTAGGGAAATCAGTGTGTCAGTGGCACAGTACAGGCTACGTGTGTGTGTCAAACATTTTGGTGAATTACATTTGTTTGGGCTGGTTATATATTTGAAAGAAAGAGAAACTGTTGACTTTAGCGATGACGAGGCTTCATTTAAACTGCAGAAGATACCGTCTGACAACGAGGGGAAAACGCCACACAGCAGCTGTTTTCCATCCTATTAGATCGCATTTCTTTAAATGATCAGTCCAGGAGATGGTGCTGATGGACAACAGTATTAGTTCAAAGAGGATAAAAGCAGGTAAAATAGATTAAAACTATCGTTTCAAAGCTGTCCAAATGTGACTGTTTACACGCATTAGCTGCCGACCGGAAGTTCGGTTCGGTTCATTCTCCTTGCGCATACACGCAAAGCATAATGGGTAATTTTTCGTTCCAAGAAAAAGGTCTATAGGTGAATTGGATAAACTAAATTGGTCTTCAAGACCTTCACATGCTGTCCCAGGAGAGAGCCCTGAGCTCATAAGATTCTCAAGCCAGGGGCTCCCTCCTGTTTGCAGTACGAGAGGGGAGTTTAAGCTCAGGTAGATCTTAAGAACCCCCCTCCCCCCAGCTACTTAAGGATTGCTGTGAGAGTATGCTGCTGGTGAAATTCGTCAATTGTGCTGATTTAGTTTAGTCAATTTACCCATGTCTCATCTTTTGGACTGTGGGAGGAAACCGGAGAACCTGGGGTAAACCCACGGGATGAACATGAACTCTGCGCAGAAATGTGAACTGTCCGGGTAAAGACCCGAATCAGAGACATTCTTGCTGTGAGGCAACAGTGCTAGCACTGGGCCGTCGTGCTGCTCCATAGAGGAAAAAGAGGAGGAGGGGGGTGGAAGGGGGGATTCTTCAAGACGAAGACGACTAAGGTAAGATGCTTTGGTTATTTATACTACGTTAGGAATCGTCTGATTGGTGAATCATGCGTTAGCTAACGTAGGGCCAGCCGTGTAAATCATAACATAAGCACAAGATCCTCTCGAAATTAGTTTAGAATTAAACTTCACATAGAGTATGAGTGTGCATGGATGTTTCCCAGTACTGGGTTGCAGCTGGAAGGGCATCCACTGTGTAAAACATATGCTGGGATAATTGGCAATTCATTCCACTGTGGCTACCCCTGATGAATAAAGGGACTAACTTGTATAATTAATAATAATCATTATTATGTCATTCAAAACCATTTTTTGTTACGGCAGCGGCGGTCTGTGTGCGTTTCTCAAAGCACCGCATTGAAACAATGGTTTGTGTGTTTGTGGTTTGTAAAATGGGCAGTTAAGCATTTGTCTAAACAAATTAGCGCTGCGTTCATTGTGTGCAAGTTCACGCAGGTGTCTGGTGTGTCTCTTTGTGTCTGAGATCCGGTCTTTGAGTGCCATTCATTAGGCACAGTGGCTCATAGTACAATAAATCGACAGTGTTTTGGTTACAATGGCCGGTGCAAAACAAAGGACGAAATCCCACCCCCCAAAAAGGTAGTGAAATTAGATAACGCATGCATAATTTGTTAGTCATTTTTATTAGGATTGGCAAGCCTCTATAATCCATTCCAGCTAAGTAGTCACTGATGACATCATAATCATAATCAACATTGTCATCATGATTAGTGTTCACTCCAGATCAGGGAACGGTGGAAGCTGCTTTCATCCAGAATGGCTTTCAGATTTGACCAAATGATGCTAAATGTTGTCATCTGGCTTTTTAATTCAGGTTTGCGGTTTCCAAGACCAGCATTTTTCTATCCCATATGGCCGGCGACAAGTCGTCCGGTAGGCAGCCAGTGAAAAGCGGCCTGTGTGGCGCCCTGCACTGTGTCATAATCTGTTTTACGGATTATCTGTGTAGGTTTCATCTGCATTATAATAAATCTTTGAGCAACGCTTTGACCTTTTCAGGTTGGAGAGACGGATTAACCTTTTAGATATAAAATTTCTGCTGATTTGTAGAGCCAAAATGTAAATAACATTTACTAATTTGGTGCATTTTTTTAATAATCTGATGTGTGTATTGATTATATATTTGCATTAATTGCGTTTGTTTCTCTTGCACACCATTAGTTCACTGTCAGTTATTGTTAAAGAGGATTATCTGCACAAGTGGCTTTTTCTAAAGGATTTATTCTTATTGTTTTGCATTCTAAGGGTTACAATTTTTTCTAAAGGTTTGATTGAAATTTTTTAAATATAGAAATACATTTAATTTTGTCTAAAAATGTCCTTATTACGCAATAGGTTCAGATATGAAGTCAAAAAAACACTTTAATTTCTTATATTATAAATTGGAGCATCAGCTTTTTTCTGATTGGTTTAATGCCCCAATGCTCTGATTTTTCATATTGTCTTTACTCTTTTCTCATTGGTCAGATGGCCCCTATACTTTGCTCTGATTTGTCATCATATGGCTTCTGCTTTGATTGGTCAGATGGCCTCTGCTCGACTTTTTTTCTGGTCAGATGACTCTAAAAATTGGTCTGATGGCTCCTACTCTGCTCTG